TATATATATATATATATATAACCTAAATTTTCATAGTTTTTTTTTGTCATACTTTGGTGTGATAGACCTATGCATGAAAGATGCATTGGGCTTTTTTAAATGTATGTGATAAAAAAATTTTTAACATGTTATAAAAATTTTGAATGATATGCAATAAAATATTAAAGCTTGGATGTTAGACATGTAAATACATAAAAATCGAGTGGTTGGTAAGCAAATGCCCCCCTATTAATATTATTTGTTTTGTTTAGATCGATAGGCCTTTCCACGTGCCTTCTAATTTAATAAAATGGTATCAAGACAAAGTATGGTTTAGAACCGCTTATGTGTTGTACAATCTTGTATTTATTTATTACTTTCTTTACATACATACCACATAAGAATTCTTATGCATCTATTTACCAAATAATAAAATTTTTGATTTTTACATATGTATCACCTTATCAATACATGGAAAAGGCATATTTAACTCCACCAAGCTTAGCCAAGAGCTATTCATTGACTTGTCGGCTCACGAATAAGCTTTTCTCAGTCACACCTCTAATCAAGACAAACTTTTCCTATATTTCGCATGTTAGCAATATAATGTCATAGTAAAATACTATATGTGCTCACTTTATACAAGATATAACCATTATTATTCTATTATATGTACAAATTACTTCATTTTTTACAATATTTTTGCAATTTCAAGGATGCCGTAAATTACTCCTACAACACAACATAACGGAATAGATTTATGACAATAGATTAAAAACTTACGGCAAGCTGTCAACTTGAATAACTTCTTTTTTAAATCTAAAGCATAAATCATGATCTTCAGAAGCTAAATTAATACTTATTGGCACAGACCTTCAAACGGTCGAATAAATCAAAATCCATTCTCCTTGAAAACAATGCCTGATCTCCAGAGTTTGTACATACTCCTTACAACTCAAACTTGTGAATAAACAATTCAGCCATTTTTCTTACCCTCTGCTCTTTTAATTTAACTACAGAATAAAAACGAAAGAGCAAATGGTAAATTTCCATTGCCTTCTTTAAAATCGAAGGCATGAAACATGATTATTATAAATTAAGACATCACAATATCTCATCTCATCAAGTATTAAATACACTGTAGATACTCAATCAAACCAACATTTGTTTTTTTCCTAAGCAAATTGCACTCAAAGCTTCAGCATAACCTTTTTTCCACTTTTATTAACAAAGTAAATTATCCGGTTCACCATTATTTTTGTGAAGAAGAAAAGAATTAATATACAGAGCAGCAACAGTATTCATATATTGCCCACCTGCGGCTCCTTTTTATTGTTCACCAATTCGGTGTCTGGTGCTGTTTAATAAGTATCTGCGCATAAAGAAGCTCATTCCAGGAGTCAGGCACTCCAGGCAGGCACCAATGGCTACAGTCCTGAAACCTCTCAGGAGCTCTCCTTTCTTCTTCCGTTAAGTTCTGCTTTCGATATATTGAAGGATGAGCATCCTTCCTGAAATCAGTCATCCTTGTAATGTTCAGATAGGAGACTGGAGTCTTCATGTCATTTAGTACCGTCTCCAAAACTCTCATTTTTGGAGGATAAGGTGATAAAAATTTCTCATTTATGATGGGTTCAGTTTCTGTATCACAAGCTCCACCGGAATTCCACTGCCCTCCTCTTGAAATGATAAAGGAAGGATTAGTGGGTCTCTTGGTCTCATTTGTAGAGATTGGATGAAATATTAAAGTTGAGATATAATGAAAAGTTTTACCTGAAATGGGAGGCAGAGTAACCCCTGAAGAAGATGAGGGTCTTCTTAGGATTAATATTGGCATCCACCCATTTGGCCCAAGTGTGGAGTGCTTTATGGAATGCTTCTACTACATTTAGTTCACTGTAAACACGGTTACCTTCTTGATAGTAGTCTCTCCTGTGTATTTTATATTAATAAAATAGAGGTTAGCTCAAGAACAAAGGGAGTCACTAAATTTAGCTCGAAAACAAGACCATCTTGCAGATGTATTAGTTAGGGTCGCACACTGTCTTGAACCCGGAACCTCTTAGTTGACATCTAAAGCTTTCAACCAATAAGCTAAAATGACTTGCATGCATTTATGGATTATTATTATCTAGCATCTCAAGAGCATTTACAAACATACCACTTAATAATCATGAAGTGACATATCTAACACCTAAATTTTAGTTTTTACATGTATACAACCCAAATCTTTCATATCACATCTAAAATACCACAATTTAAACTCTAAAAATTTTAAATACACCTTTTCATGCATACCTAAGGCACTATGTATGTGAATGATGGTGTTTAGGTGTTAGATATGTAAATACAAAGCAATTGAGTGAAATATGTAAATCTTCCAATCAATAAGAAATACTCTTAGTCTTCTTTTTTGTTTTTATAGTTAGGAGGTGTTTGGCAGCAAATTAGATTTATGTTAAATATGATTTATCAAGTCCAGATTTTATCAAATCTAGTTGCAGATGGAGGAGCACGCGAGCGACTACAAAATAAATCCACCTCGCAATGAGATTTACTAAATTCAATTTTACGTAGTAAAACAAACCAAATGAGAGAAAAAAAGAAACAGAACGTGAGAAAATATGATTTTACAGAGCGTTGGATTTAACTTTCATTTTTTTTATGTTTTGCTATTACCAAATTAGAAAAAAAATATATTACCCTTTGGCTGTCTTCTCATGAGTCCACCAATGCCCAGTATTGAAGACTATGATATTGGCATCCATATATCTGGAGGAAGACCTCTCAATTATATCAAGCCTAAGAGTTTCCTTCTTCTTGCCATGGGAATCAGGCATCTCCCATTCCTGAACCAGGAAAGGGGACCGGAAGAACTCTACAGTGCAGTTATAATCCTACAACAAGCAATTCGAAAGAGACGGTCCACTATGAGTAACAAATTATAACATTAAGAAGAACCAATAAAAGGAAATATATCAGAAGTTTGGTAAAAAAATCTATACCTTGAACAAGAAAGAGTAGGAACCCACTGTCCTGAATTCATGGCGGCCTGAGGCCTCAAAAACTTTCTTCTTGTCCTTTACAGAGTTCTTCAGGACGCATACAAGAGACTCCCACATGTTCCTGTTGAGTGAATCGCCTACAAAAACTAGGCGCTTCCCTCTCAGTCTCTCCAACAAATCTAGTGCATTAAATCTAAGAAACAAGCAAAAGAAAAAAATCATGATGAAGAAAGAACTAAGAGAAGAATAAAAAAGAAGCAGTTTTGAGCTAATCTTGCCTTGGGACGTTGCAGCCATCAGGTTGCCATCTGAGCTTCTGGTAAGCTCGATCCGGCCGACCATTATGAAAGCAATCGAATGGCTCATCAATATGAGGACAAGATCCTTCAGCATAGAGCGGATATGAATCTTCTTTAACCCACTTCCCATGAAATATATCACAACCCACCATGCCTTTGATCCATTCCTCCGTCTTCTTGGGAGAATCCTTAGTAGTTTGCGCAGCAGATGCACTTCCTTTCCTGAACGATGCTGAGATGTTAGAACTAGCAGGAGCGTCCTTCGTCTTTAAACTCACTGGATTTCCAGTCAATGTTGGTGTGTGATTATTTGGTTGAACTCCGACAACTGCAATTGTTTGATTTTTAGATTTAGCAGGGGAAGAAGATGTCTTCAGATTCGTAGGTTGAGTTCCGACTAGTGTTGAGGATGAGTTTTTAGGTTGAGCAGCATTTCCCTGGGAACCAGACTTCGATTCCTTCGGGAAATTAGCAGAAACTCCATTATTTTTGGAAGCTGCTACCTTTCCCGTGCTGTTTAACTCAGTGGCTCCTCCTTTTTCAGATCCCAGTCCACCTCCAGCCAAGTTATTCCCTGAAACTTGTACTCCAGTTTGGTTCTTCCCTGCCAAAACGTCATCTTTCTCCAAACTAGACCCTCCTGCAGTTCGATTTAGTGACCAAACTCCATCAGAAGTCGATTCCTTCTCAAATCTTCCATCTCTCTTCAAGCCAGGCATCCCTTCTGTCAGATTTTGACGCACATCACCGTTCACTTTCACCCCATTTACAGAGCTAGCATTTGTCGGTGCTACACTCGGAAAAGCGCCACCTTTTTGCGATCCAAATTCTCGAGCATCAAAAGGCTTGTTCTCTGTCGACGAAATAGTGGAATTTGGGAAAATGTGGGAGATGAAACTGTTGAAGGAAGAACGGTAGGGATTGATGGAAGAAGAAAATGAAGAGGTGGTGAAAAGAGAGTTGAACCAAGGGGAGCCATTCCCGGACGGATTGAAGGCGAGGTAGGCCGTGCAGCCGACAAAGGCCATCATGAAGCCGTAAGTGAAGAGCTTCGTTCGCCGAGCCTTCATCACTGTGAAGAGGCCTCGGTAATCAGTGGCCATGGTCCCCTTCTGCAGACTCTTGACTCCCTCTCCGACCATCGCGAAACGGAGAGAGAGAGAGATGGGTTTTTTTAGCAATGGAGTTAAGTGATAGAGAGAGGGATGTTGCCCTAACTGTGGAAATGAGCGAGGGTAGAGTGACGGTCGGGGGAGTTGAGGGAGAGTGGGGAAAGTGCTAATGGCTGCAATTTTGCGAGGCGATCAATTTCGTGATTTCTGCTAACAGTTAAAATTTTATAAAGAATATTTACATATTTCCCACAATTTTTTTTTGTATTTATATTTCTAAAAACTTATTTATACTGAAACAGTGCTTTTGTTGGCATTAAAATTTAGGTAATAAAAATATAAGAAATAATTTTTAAGGGTTAGATATATAAATACATTAAAATTGGAGTATGGATGTAAATGTCCCAACATAAATTACTAAATCCTCAATTTTTGTAACAAAATTTTGTATATTTTGATTTACGAATAGAGTCAAAGATCGTCGTCATAGTTTTTCCAAGGATTTTACCTAAAATGTTCATAATGAAAAACATGTTATTTTAGAAAAAGCTAGAGTTTGAAGTCCTGATTTTTTAGTTTATTTTTAAAGAATGTGCTCTAAATTCGAGCATTTAAGGAAATCATGTTTTCGAGGATGCAGATTTTTTGTCACTTTTACTTTAAATATTTATCTGGAGTAGCTGCAACTTATTTAAAAATAATTGTGAAATTGATAAAAAATAATTTGATGTTCAAAAAACTACAATGATATTTATAATTTTTTTTTTTTGAATAAGACAAACCGTAACTAGAAAGTTATCACCGCATATAGTCATAACTGGTATGAAAACACATATTTCAGCGGTAGCTGTTTGAAAAATTTGTCAAAACACAGTTTATGCAAACAGATAAAATTGTGATGCGGTGTCACACCTAAGATAATAACAATAATCACGGGGCATAAAAAATATTTTAAATTTTGATTAAAATTAAAAAAGATATAATTTATGACAACAAATATTATAAAATTTCAATTTTCATATTGTTAAGGACTAAATTGAAAGTAACATCATTTGTTAATGAATAAACGGTAATTGTTTACGTAATTAATTTAACTCTCTGTTTTATATTCGCCATTAGGATATTACGAGTATTTTAAAGTAGCTTTTTAAATAATGTATTAAAAATAGCAATATATTTCAAATAAATTCATATAAAAATTTATGCTTTAGGACATAGGACATCATATCTTTTGTGAGTACGTACAACTCGATAGAGACTTTATTTTCATGAAAGATAGGTAAAAAATGAGATGTATATGAGGCTTGAGAAGGCCTCAGGAATTGTATGTTGAAATTAAACCTCTAATGAGCCTGAAAATCTGAAAATTGGCTCTGGGGAGGTTTCCTGGACTACACTGTTTGTGAGAGAAGAGTGAGACTACAGAAAATACAGTAAAAACAGACGAAAAAATCGATAACCTTGAGTGTGTAGGTAATTTTTCAGTTATTTTGGCACTTCAAATAACGCCTTTCCTATAGCTCTTTAAGTGCGTTTAAAGTAAATCCAGTAAACAAAGGTCATTAAATAATATCATACGATCAAAATTGTCTGTTCATAACATTTTATAAAGTGACGATCAGACAACATCAAAAAATTAGATGCAAGTTTTTAGTCAATTAATAATCGACGATAATGATATATTAATGGAAGGTCAAAATCCTCTCGATTATTATGAAATTATCGAAAAATCATCGGAAAGCTTGTTTATATCAAGCCAACGTCAAAAATTCCTCATTTCTCTTGCGCGTGGCTTTTACTCTGAAGCAGACCAACGCCCCCTTGATCCTCAATTTTGTCAGGGTTTGCCATTTATTAAGTTATTACACTCAAATCATATATAACATTGATTCTGCTATTCTTTAAAGTCTTTAACTAATTTAAACCGGCATATTTTTTACATTTTGATATGAAATGTTTAGGAGAAATTCAAAGTTTTGATTAGGTTTTTTACAATTTTGATGATGAATCTCATTGTTACATACATATAACTCATCTCTTAGGTCTTCCCATATCTAAAACCAATATTTTAATCACCAATTTGCATGCCTAGCACACAATTCTTATGTTTTTATGTATCTCACTCCTAAAATCTCAATTTTACATCCTTGACACTTTGGTTTTTAAATTTAAGCTTGAAAAAGTGTATCTCACTTTTAATAATTGGTAATAGCTTTATTTTGTATGTGGTATTAAAGTTCAGGGTACTATGTGTAAAATATGAAAATTTAGGTTTGAGATATGTAATTACACAGGAGTTGTGTGCTATGCATGTAAATGCCCTTTTCGTAAAGAAAATTCAGATACTCAAGAGACACAATTATTAAGCACTATGCGTGTAAATATGAAATTATAGGTTTGAGATATACATTAGAATTGTGTGTTATGCATGTAAATGCCCTTTTTCAAGGTATATTCACATAAATAGCACACAATTCTTTTGTTTTTATTTTCCAGAAAAGTCAAAAGGGTTTAGAGTCTTGTGGGAACCTTTGGAGGCTCGGATATGACCAGTTACCATCTTAGGACCTCCGTAAGGATCGTGAACATGTATTGAAAGAGCTCGAGAAAGTGAACCGTACAAATGCGTTGAGCACGACGGTTCTAATCATACAATTTGTGTGTCCATATCTTAAGCTTTAGGCGCAAACACATATAGAACAACCGTCAACAATCTATGCCACAGAAATATCTGTATCAACTAGATACAGCCCCATGCCACGGGAACGAACATCATCACGGAGGATACCAGTGGCGATGCTGGTTTGACCTCGATCGACTTGGAGTACGGCTATAATGGCGTAAAACTCTATAGCGTAGTGTTACTCAACAAGGAGGTTATGCGTATGTTGTATCAAAAATAGATGTTAACAGGAGATAAAAGTTTTTATAGATTATTTCTCTATGTTTGGCGCACTCTTTGATGCTTGCCTTGAAAACTTGGCAAGAGTTTTATAAAAATGTGAAGAGACTAATCTTGTGAAGAATTGGGAAAAATGTTATTTTATTGTTTTGTGAAGGTATTGTCCTTCGACATAAATTATAAGAAAAAGGAATGGTAGTTATATTGGGCCAAGGTTCAAGTTTTATTGGAAATGCAGGACAATATCATAGATATATTCAGGACTTTTGTAAAATATCAAAATCATTATGTTATCTGTTAGAGATAGATGTGTCTTTTGTATTTGATGAAAAATACCTAATAGCCTTTGATATTTTAAGAGCATAATTAGCCACTTCACTAGTTATTCTTGCACCAAACTAATAGATTTCATTGAGCTTTTATGTGATAATGGTGATTATGTTGCAGTGGCAATGCCAAAATAATAGTGAGACGAGTTCTTTTCAAGATACATTCTATGCAAGCAAAAAAGGAAACACAAATGAATTATACAACCCCAGAGAAGGAATTATTTGAAATAATATTTGCATTTGATAAGTTTAGGTCGTACCCGAGAGGCAATGGAGTTAAAGTCCACAGCGAGCACTCTGTAATTAAATACCTTATAACTAAGAATGATTTTAAACCTCAATTGATTTATTGAATAATTTTGTTACGGGAATTCAATTTAGAGATAGCTTTAAATAAGAAATGTACTGAAAATCAAATAGCACACAATTTATCACGTTTAAAATAGGAAAATTCTTCTAAACTTTTCGAATATATTAATTAGAACTTTTCTAATGAATAATTATTTGTAGTCTTTGAACAATATATTTCTTGTTATGCTGACATAATGAACGATATTATTAGCGGTAACATATGATCAAAGTGATTGTACATTATTGGAAAAAAGTTATAATCATAATGAAGGATATTATTAGTGGTAACATATGATGAAAATAATTGTATATTTTTGGAAAAAATTATAATCAATTTTTTTATTCATAAATGCTACAATATTAATAGTTACCCAATTTTAGAAAGTGTAGTATATTTTTCATTCTTAAAATGATGCAACTTATGATTCATTAATTTTTTTGGTTGGAGCACCTCATATTATATTAGAGAGAAAAAAGTGACGCAACCATTTTAAAGATTCGATATATTCTTATTTCTCTGCACGAAATAATCTTTATTTATGTAAGTATTCGTAGTTTGTTTACCTTTTTCTATTATTTTAAATTATTTAAATTGTAATTAATTAAAATGCTAATTAATATAATGCAATTCATTATTTTTTATTTTCATAAATAAATTTAAAGTATTTATTTATATTATTTCATTGCATGAAAATATATATTTTTCTTATTTAATTGATATAAAATAATTAAATATAATTCAAAATATGCTTGCAATTCATTCCCTTTTTCACGGCGAACTACGGAAGTGAAACCGCGTGAAATGGTGGGACCAGCGAGGACGAAAGCGATCCCTCCACACCGTCGGTGCGGTTACCCATCATCTTTATCTCCCAACCAGCTTTAAATAGTTGGCCCAACATTTACCAGAATCAGTCACGTGGAATATTGGAAAACGCAGTGTGTTAATCGGACGATACACCTAAATCCACGTGGCAAGCATGACGGGCTAAATTAAAATTTTGTATTGTATTTATTAATTCTAACAAATTTGTTTTTTTAATATTTTATGAAGAATTATTATATTATATAAATGCCTTCAAAAAATATTATGTTAAAATATTTGTAATTGTAATATTTTCTATAAAATAAAATATTATTATCATAAGTTTCGCAAAAAAATAATGTAAATATCACTTAAATGGGGTATGCTTTTATTTTAAAATAATTATAAATAATTATTTTTTTAATAAATTTTATATCAGCAATATATCGATTAAATATTTTATTTTAATTTTAAAAAACGGTTGTAATATAGAAACGTCACATAGCGACAAATATTTATAATGGAGCCGTAGTAACGCATTGACGCTCTGGACTCCAATTTGTTTAGTGGGCTTTCCGTACGCATCGTCCGACCGGTAATCCTGTGGATTTTGGTTTCATCCGACTTTTTTCTTTCTCTTTTTCTTAGTTTTATTAAGCCAATGGGAGTGCACTCAATTTTCAAAAGAAACTAAATGCGGTGATTTAAGGGGCCCACAAAAGTACATCCGAGACCTCACCCTTCATCTCCTGATTGATACACACATACATATATATATATATATATATATATATATCTAATATAT